TAGAGATCGAGGGTTCTTGCCATGGTAAGCGTACAAATTAGGATGTACGCTTCACTCTCTCATGATTGGTTATCTGCATGCTACCTGTGTTAGCAATATTCATACATTTTAAAGTTCATAACTTTTGCATGTGCCTTTCCTTCTCCACTAATTTGGGGTGCCTTAGTAACTCCACCTAGCTGGGTTCCCGAGTTTCATTTCCTCCCCTGCCCCATAGTCCTGATTCCTGACTACCTAGCCTCCCTCTGTTGCCTCAAAAGGAAGGTCATCTGATTCCCCAATGACTGCTTCAGTTTATCTTTTAATACATGTATAATTTGAGTTTTACTTTACTGAGTTATTTTTATATTATATTAAAATATTTAGAAATCAAATAAACAACATGAGATAGAAGAGTTGGAATATTTCAGATTTGGTTCCTATTATGTAAAAGCAAGAAGCTGACAGAATTAACCAACTATTTTTACAGCACAATTAATGACAGATTTCATCAATTATAATGTTTACATAAATCTAAATATTTCATATTAGAAAATGGTTTTTGTGTTTTCTTGTCTTAAACAGGAGGAGGGATTTTTACCCACTAAAGAACACTTGGCACAGGACTGAAGTTGTCAAATTGTGCAAATGCAGCCTAATGCTTTACAGCACCCAAGAACATTTCTCCACTAATGGATCTCTTGGGCAGTCCCATTTAACGCAAACGTTTGTTAGAAGTGATAGGAAATGTAAAGAGCTCTGAACAGTACTTAATCCATTTATGCCTAAGGGTTCTCTAAAAACCCATACCTACCTACACACAGTTAGGTGGTGTTGTTTTTTTGTTTTTTTTGTGTGTGCGTGTGTTTGTTTTGTTTTATTTTATGTAGTTCCATAGCAAGCTAAGTAAAGTAGACCAAACAGCTAAATTCCTTTGGGCATAAAAAGTTATACAAGGTTTGCATATGAAAGATACTCTCTATGCCAGAGCCCTTAGCTGTCTCTAAGAATTTGCTAGTCCTGGAAGGCGCTATCTGTCTGAGGCCAGCAAAACTTACAAAATACAGAAAGTTAAGTTAGAAAGCCTGATCAGGCCATGCCTCACCAAACAATTTAATTCCTAGATATGTGTGTTGGATTTTTTATTATCAGTAATGTGAAACAAATAATCTGTCTTACTTTAATTGGACTGGTGAGGGTCAGAGGAGTTTAACATTTGTGAAAAAACTTCGACAAGTATAAATTCAGTATGTAAATACTTGTCCTTAGGAGTCATTACATCTAAGGTGCCTTTGAAGTTTCTTAAAGAAAGAAACTTTAGTTGTACAACTAATTTTCGCTTAACATAAACTTCTCATTGAGTAGGAAAACTTTTTTACCCATTAGTTTGTAAATAATTTATCTACTCCTTGATTCCAAGAAAAGGCTTATAAAATGACCATGAGACAGAAAAAGCTTTCTATTTTATTCATCCAGGCCATAAGAACAGGTATAGTTTGCAAGATATTTTATGCAGAGCATGTATGATTTATTTTTAACTTACTGTGTTCTTTTCTACATTAGGTATATTGGTAATTTTTTATATATTGGTATTTTTTACTTTTTATTTTTAAAAATATATTTTTATTGATTTCAGAGAGGATGGGAGTGGTAGAGAGAGATAAAAACATCAATGATGAGAGAGAATCATTGACCGGCTGCCTCCTGCCCATGCCCTATTGGGGATCGAGCCCACAACCTGGGTATGTGCCCTTGACTGGAATTGAACCTGAGACCCTTCAGTCCACAGGTTGATGCTCTATCCACTGAGAAAAACTGGCTGGGGTGGTATTTTATTTTAATACCTACATATAAAATGTTTTGCTTTTTTTAATGAGCTTGACAAGTCAGAGTATTTTGGATTTATTGCCTATTATATAAATGCATGCAGTTGACTGAATTGACCAACTTATAGCAGAATTAATGACTGGTTTGATACATATTTCCATTATGTGATTTCTGCAATTACCAGGTTTGTGTACATATAAGTATTTCACAGCAGAGAATAAATTATTTGTTTGCTTGTTTTAAATAGGGACAAAAACTTTTACTCACTGTATATATGTATGTTGTACAAGGCTAAAATGTCTCTAATGTGTATTCATAGAGGTGAGTGTTATACATTAATTTCTATTTACTATTTTCCCTCTGCCTTATTGAATCTTATAATTCTGTAAGGTCCAAGTCTCCTCCCCTCTTGGTAAAACCTAGAAAACCACCTCAGTTCATGAGCATTGCTATCCTTTGAACAATCACTATGGCCCATGATATGCTAGGATGAAAAGTATTAAGATGGGTAATTTTATGTGAGTTTCTGTGAGATTGGATTACCCTGACAAACAATGGGTGTGAAACTGAAATGTGGGTGTTTGAGTCCAAGTTCTTTGTCTCATGACATTGAAGAATGAAGTCACAGGCAAAAACAATTAGTAGAACTGAAGTTTATTGAGAGAAGCCAATCCTGAAAAAGGTACAACTGGGATTCCAGGAGCAGGCCAGTGTCAGAGCTTCCTTTTCCATGTTACAGTCGGGAGTAGTTCAGTATCCGAGGTAATTAAAGTGTTACAGTCCATGCGTGGAGGCCCACATGGTCATAAGCCATGCGATGGAGTGCATCTCCTGCCATTAACTCAAGAATCTAGCACAGGGAGGGTGAGAGAGAAAGTGTGTGCACTTTTTTATGTATGCTTGTTAATTCCTGATTGGTCCTTTCAAAGGATTTTGTCTTAGCAACATCCTTGGGATTGGTTTTCACACCTTACTACCTGGTGATTGGTTATCAGCAAGCTGCCTGTCTTAGCAACATCCATACATTTTAACGTTTGTCTCCTGTGTGTGCTGTCCTTTCCTGCCCAGCTGGGTTGTCCCGGTACCTCCGTCCAGCTGGGTTTTCAGTGTCATTTCCCTTCCTGTGGTCCTATCCCTACTTACCTAGCTTCCTTTTGTCTCCTCAGGTGTGTGTACAAAAGTCTTTTCACAGAAACTTACTGTTACTTCTGGAAAATACTCTGAATTTCAAGCAAGCAACTTACAAATGAAAACTTTAGATACAGATTATTTTTAAGTTTCTTGGTGGATAATGTGAATACTTTATTTGTGGAAATTGATGATAGGTAATTAAAAGTACTCAGTCTCAAAATAGACTTGTGGACTGAAGAAAGTAGCCATTCTATTAGGAACTATAATAATCGACCCTCAACCAGCCTTGCTTAAATGACTGTACAGCCAATTAAAATGAGAAACTGCAAACAGAATGCATTAAATAATTTTATTATAAATCACTACAGTATAAAATCAAGAAATTGAGCATTTATTCACTATAAAGACAGTTTATAATTTTCACTAAACTTTAATAGAAATGAGAAACTGTAGTGAATAGCCTATCTCCCCAAACTGGCTATAAAGTTCTCAGAATGGCTTTTCTGTTGAAAATTACAACTATATACAAATAAAATGCAGTTATAATATGAATTTATATTATAGACTTATCCAATATTCTATGTATAAATACTGACAATAACAATTACAAAGTACTCAAAGATTTTCATTAAAAATGTTAAAAAAGATAAATAAGGTTCTTCTTTTTGAATAGGTGGCAGAATGCTTTTATGTAAAATGCAGAAGCAGTATATTTAGTGATCCAGCACAGAATAAAAGCCAGAGTGCTTAGAAAGCTTGTAAAGGGTTATTTTTTTGCTATTTTCGGATTCTCTATTCTTATTACCTACTGTGCTTCTAGCGCCCACTCATGGTATTCCTAAAATATACCTGTACATTCCTGCCTCCGGATATTTGTACTGTTTTCTCAAGGTTCACTATCTCAACTCTGAGGCATTGGTCAAATGGCACTTCTGCAGTAAGACCTTCTGTGGACACCATTTAAAATCGCAACTCTCTTCTCCACCTTCCTGCCTTAATTTTTCCCATTGTACTTTCTACTATATTATGCATATTCTTCACTTGCAACTTTAATTTTTATATTTTATAAAAATTCTGTATTATGTGAAATCAGTTGAGTCCCATAGAATTTTATTTTTGTTAATCCTCATTGGAGGATATATTTTTCTATTACTTTTCAGAGAGAGTGGAAAGGAGGGAGAGATGGAGAGTGGAAAGAAAGGGGGGGAAGGAGGGAGGGATGGGGAGAGAGATTCATGCCCCAACCAGGCTGTGAATCAAACCTGCAACCCAGGTATGTGGCCTTTACCAGGAATGGAACCCATAACCCATGGGTGCTGGGGTGGGGGTGGCGGGGAGGGGCTGATGCTCTTAACCACTGAGCAACACCAGCCAGGGCTACAATTTTTATTTTTATTGTCTCTCCTCACTGTAAGTAAGATCCATAAAGGCAAGGTATTTTGTTTAGCTTGTTAATTGCTGTATTCCCAGGATCCAGAACATTGCCTGTTAAATACTTTTTGAATAAATCTAAGGCTTCTCTATATCTATTTCCTATTAAAATAAACATGTAAATATTTAATTTAATAATGGTAACTATACTCAATTGGTGGAAAATTGGATATGAGGAGAATTGGTGGCAAATTGGATATGAGGATAAATGGAAAACCAGAGTGCATTTGTCATTGGTCTAGTTATTTGATCAGATATGCCATTTTACATTGTTATAGTGTACCAGAAACTATTTGAAGTGCTTTACATATATTAATTAATTCATGCCTTACAACAACCTTGTGACACTAGGTACATTTTACATTTAAGAAAACCAGAGTTTAAATTTAGTAGCCCTTGGACATGCAACTATTATAGGAAGTTAAGATTCACCAAGACAGGTGGTATGTCCAGAACCCATACTCGTAACCAAAGGTCATGGGTAAAATCTTGCTGTATAGTTACTTGGACTAGCTTTAGTTGTATCCTTTTTATTCATTTTCTTTTGCAAAAATGGAAAATTTGGAAAGCAATAATTTCTGTTTAACCATTGTAGTTTTATAAACATTTATTATTATTATTATTTTTTGCAGTGGGATGCCATTACTGAAATGGATGAACATAACAGGCCCATTCACACATACCAGGTATGCAATGTAATGGAACCAAATCAAAACAATTGGCTTCGTACAAACTGGATCTCCCGAGATGCAGCTCAGAAAATTTATGTGGAAATGAAGTTCACACTGAGGGATTGTAACAGCATCCCGTGGGTCTTGGGGACTTGCAAAGAAACATTTAATCTGTATTATGTGGAATCAGATGAGTCCCATGGAATTAAATTCAAGCCAAGCCAGTATACAAAGATCGATACAATTGCTGCTGATGAAAGTTTTACCCAGATGGATTTGGGTGATCGCATCCTCAAGCTCAACACTGAAATTCGTGAGGTGGGGCCTATAGAAAGGAAAGGATTTTATCTGGCTTTTCAAGACATTGGGGCATGCATTGCCCTGGTATCAGTCCGTGTTTTCTACAAAAAGTGCCCCTTCACTGTACGTAACTTGGCCATGTTTCCTGACACCATCCCAAGGGTTGACTCTTCCTCTTTGGTGGAAGTAAGGGGAGCTTGTGTGAAGAGTGCAGAAGAGCGTGACACTCCTAAACTATACTGTGGAGCTGATGGAGATTGGCTGGTTCCTCTTGGAAGGTGCATCTGCAGTACAGGATATGAAGAGATCGAGGGTTCTTGCCATGGTAAGGAACATTCAAATTTACTATACATAAGTTGAGAACTATACCATTTCACATTGTTATGATAATATAATACCTATAGTTTTCCAGATGAAATGATTTTTCTTTATGTGAATTTTTTATGAAGGTTTGTTAATCTAATAAACATATACATTTAAAATTTTTACATATCCTTGACAGAGATAATCTATATGATATTTCTTGTATTTAGCACTCATAATCAATACACAAATATGGAAATACATCTATTGTTTGGCAAATAGTAAAAAAGTAGGTATATTCCCCTCTTACTAGTAAATTATTTACAAGTTTGTTTTCTATTGCACTGTATTGAATGTATTGACTTTTTTTGTTGGTTCTATATTTATAATTATTAAAAGGATGAGAATAAGTAAGAAAAACATGCTTTTATGTACTAAAGGGTTATGAGTAATAGTAATGTGTGTGAATATTTACAGATTTTATATACTTATAAAACACTTGGGTTTTGAAAAGTTCACTAGCACTTCCAATGATGAGTATGTTGGAAATTTGAAAATTTTAATATTTGCATAAAATGTCTGCAGTATATTCTTATGAAGCATAAGCCAGTTTAATCTACTATTTAAAAATTAAAATATATTTCATTGAAGTTTATCAATATAAATTGAATTATAAAATGTTATTTACTCATAACAAAGATTTAGAATGGAAGAAAAATAAATCATAAATTATCCTTTGGGGGATTCTATAAAATATTTTACATTGGAAAATATTCTAAAGAAAAATTCATACATATGAGTAATTATTCAATGAGGTTAAGAAGACAATAAGAACTTGGGATAAACATATTAGATATACTATCCATGTAGTTTTACCATATTTTAAAATAGGAGAAGCTGGGTGTTAATTGGTAAAAATAAAGTTTTAAAAATATTTAGAGCCCTAACTGGTTTGGTTCAGTGGATAGAGCGTCGGCCTGCGGACTGAAAGGTCCCAGGTTCGATTCCAGTGAAGGGCATGTACCTTCGTTGCAGGCACATCTCCAGTATGAGGTGTCCAGGAGGCAGCTGATGGATGTTTCTCTCTCATTGATGTTTCTAACTCTCTATCCCTCTCCCTTCCGCTCTATAAAAAATCAATACAATATATTTAAAAAAATATTTAGAGAGTCATTTTATAACTAACAATGTATGTGATTGCTATTATTAAATATGTGTATTTTTTCATGGTGTTGACTACAGAAATACAGGTAATGACAATCACTGATGGCTCAATGGTTTTTTACTTAATATGTTTGTTCTGTGAAGTTACATTCTTATGTACCGTACATTCCTTAAAATTTCTTCCATTGTTTAGCAAAATTGATTTTTAACAAATGATAATCATTATCAGCTCATCTAGAGCTGCTCCTAGACTTATCTGTTGTTATGGCTTATTACCTATATTATAATTTGAGTGCAGAAATATGAGTGTATAGTGTGTGTTCTTGATGCTTTCCTTCATATCACCTATTTCTATCCTCTGATAATAGTTTTTATCCTTTACCCTATTGCTATCAATCAATAAGTTATCTCCCAAGCAAATCTCTGAATTACACATACCTAAATGGCAGATTAATTGGAATTTATATGAATAAACCATACTTCAAGTAGTAATGTGACACTATATGTGTGTGTATGTGTGTGTGTGTGTGTGTATAATTTTTTCTTTTAGTCTGTTCTGTTAGAACAATTAATTTAAGTTATTAAAATTTATGAATATCTACTATCTGTTAGTCACTTTGGTAGTTGGTAGACATAGAGTATATGTTTCAGTTATCTGTTGCTTTTGAGACAAAACAGCCAACACTGCTTAGTGTAAAATCACAGTGACTTATGATTTCTCAGAGCTCAGCCAGGGTAGTTCTGCTTAATGTAGATAAAGCACAGGTCACTGATGCAGCTGTTTCCAGCTGTGAGCTTGACTGGAGTTGCAATGTTCAAGATGATCTCTTCTAGGGGCTTTCTCTAGATGGCCTCTCATCATTTAAAAATCTAGTTAAAACCTTTTTATAGTACAGTAGCTGGCGTAAGAGAGAGTTTGTTACATGCCCAGGTATAAAGTGAGTATATGATGGGACTACACAAGGGTTGAATACCTGGAAGTATGTTTATAGTGAGCTGCCAATGTGATAGTGTACCACAGTTCACGGTCTCATTTCTCATGATTAATGTTTTCTGTCATGTACACATACCCACACCCTTCCAGAGATTTATCTCATATGGCATTGTGTTGAAGTCAAGAAGAGCATCATTGAAATCAATTCCAGATGTGTTTGAAGCTAACATTTCTCTTGACCCGAAGAATTAAGAACTAAAATGAAACTTATTGTTCCTCACACACACAACATATACAGGACAGGGACAGGATGACTATAAAAGAGCAGGTATACGGCAGTCACTGGTTCATTGTGATTCTGAAGTCCGGATAGATGCTGTAAGGATCCATTACTGTAGAAGCAGGGAATGGTCCACTGTGGTTTTGGCTTCATCACGCTACCTTTTATTATCTCCAATAGCAATTGCTTTACTTCTCTTCCACCCTCAACTCCTTGCTACTCTTCCAGCCTTTACAATCTGTTTAGTACCAAAGCAAATGCCACAATTTAATTTTTTTCTATAACAGCACCTCTTGTCTTATACAAATTATTAATTTACTATCTGGAAATACAGACTAGGCTCAGCAGGGTAGTTCTTCTGCAGGCCTTATCTGGAGCCCTCATGTAACTGCACTTTTTGGAATATTTAACAGAGCTGGACATTTAATATGGCTTCACTCATCTGTGGGATATTTGAGGCCCTAAGGTTGCTTACTGTATAAATCCTGATAATAATTTTAATATAGTTCACTTGAGGAAATTATTCTAATTTTTCTTTCTTTCTGGGATAGCCATTAACCCCTTCCCCGGCAGAAACGTGTATACACGTTTTCACAAAATGTTCTTTTTTCAGTCGTCGACGAGTATACTCGTCTAAAAACTTTACCTTCAAAAACCAGCTACATACGTACCATTCTAAATAATTTCATCTAGAAACTTTCTGAGGAAATACTATTCTTACCCACAACAAAAATTTGACCTTGTCTTATTCTATTCTAACTTTTTCAAATTTTATCTCCTATTCTTATTACTTTTGGAAGGCAGCTATGCTCACCACTATACGACCAACGCCAACGATCTTATTACTTTTGAATAATCCATGTGGTATGTTTCCTGTCTTCTGCTTTTAAAAATATTTTATCTACAGTAGATGCTTAGTGTTTCTTTCTTTTTCTTTTTTCTGTGATGGAATTTTATTCATCCTTCCAGGCCTAACACAAATGCCATATATGTAGGTCTTCACAAAGTTAATCCCTCTCTCCTCTGTACTGTGTAGTCTGCACTAATTATTTATGTGTCTGTTTCACCAAGGTTGTAAGATCAAAGAATTGTATTTAAAATCATGTGTATAATGAAGTACCCTGAAATTTATTGATGTAAATGATCATAAGGCCCTGATAACCAGACTCTATTGAGTAAAGATAGACAATTGTTCTACAGTATGCTCATTTTTCTCTCATGCCTTGAAATTGGAAGGTTGTAGTGTTTTAGATCTAGAAAGCCTTAGAAAATGCTTTTCTCTCTCGTTTTATGAATCAGGATGCTAAGTTACTGAGAACAAACTGTTATTCCCTAGGGCCACTTAGTAGCTAATACTAGATTGAGAACTGAAGCCTAGATTTTTCTCAACCTGGTCCTTGTGTGCTTTCATTCTGCACTTCCCTTCTTTCTCCTGTTCCTCACTTCTTCCTTTCTTCCTCTTTAATTTTCACATTCCAGGCATCCACGTCCTTAACCTTGATGCTTTCCTGCCTGCCAAAAACTGCAGAGGAACCCTAAGTTCTGATCATTAAGTAGGCCCTGTGTTCTGTACTCCTATTTCCTGGAGTCTGATATGGGCACTAGTATAACAGGATCTGCACATCCACTCTGGAATCCAGGCTACTAAGAATTATGAGAAAAATATAGATTTATCTATAAATTTATTGTTAGAAATGATAAGTAAGAAAAATTACAGTTAGGTTTTAGGAATTTTCGTAATTTATTTGAATAGATTTGATAATTTTAGTCTGCTATGTAATGAAAACACAATAAGCTGGATTAAAATATAATAAGTTATATTTACCCATACTATCAATATCAAATGAGCAACGTATATTAATCACATTTAAATAATTTATTATATTTTACCCTAAATGTTGTATTACTGAATGTGTGAACATGTGACTCCTTTCTCTGTAATATTGTTAAGGTTTATCTAGATCCAGAGTTTAGAAGCACAAAAGAGGGAGACACTCTTATCCTTGCTATAAATCAGGTTTAATTGGACATAAACATTATATTAAGCAGAGATGCTTTCATTTAAAACTAAGCACAGTAATTTAGGTTATTCTATTATACATAATAAAGCATTTTATTCTTGGTTCAAATCTCAAGTTATCTTTCATAACTTTTTATTTTATTTTGTAGGTTCATAATTAAAATGACCATACTTAGGCATATTGATGCTACAAACTTAATTTTTAATTGTCTCAATTTATTTAACAATAAATTGAATTTAAAAATAACATTAATTCATAAGGCATTAATTTACATCAAGTAGTCTTTCACTTCATATATCTAAGAATATTTTAACACTATGGGAGAAATAATTGGAAGCAATTAACATGCAATATTGAATACAATTTTTGTTCATTTGTGAGTATTGAAGGGACATATGAATCTCTAATAAAGTCCTCTTAAATAGTAATTTGGAATAAATCTCATTAAGGTAGTGGCATTTCTACTTAGAGCTATTAGTTAGGTTTGAGGATTTTAGACCTTCTAGCAAATATATATATAGAAAGGATATATTCCTTAAGCCTTTAAGTATCACATGATATAATTTAACAAAAGTAACATTTGGCTATGGAAATTAAAGTTCTGAAACATTGAGAATTTAAAA